TGTGTGCCCTGTATGTCTATTAGTGCCTGAGGCAGACCCTGGCCCTTCACTAGCTGCGCAGCATGCAGAATCATCACATTCCTGTGGAGTTCAGTTGCACCAAGGTGACTCTAGGGGTAGACCCTGCCCAACCTCTATGCGAGTGTCCTGGGGCTGTCCAGACTCACCTGGGCTGGGCTGTCTCTCTCTCTCCTCCTTTCCTTCCCCTACCCCAAATTTACCAACCTAGTTTTTGAAGTTTCTTTGGGAGATTGATTTTTTACTTCCAAGGTGGTATCCCAGCTTTTGGATGAGGAATCATGGTTTTCTAGTAGTTGGTTATGGATTAAGGAATTACCTCTCCTGAAAGGAATTCTCCCATAGTACCCTTCACTGGAGAACACCTTCATCCATCAATATGTTGGTTTCCTGGGCAAGACACTGGGGAAGATAATCAGGGTGGGATCACGTTTAGTCCAATAACATCCAGCTGTGCAGATACCAGGGTCATTTGCCAACAGCCAACCACTGGGACCAGTCTAGAGTTTGGTTAAAAGAAGCTCCATATATGTCCCCCTCCTAGAGATCCCAAAGTTGTGGCACCAAAAGTAGTCTGCAGGAGGCCAGCGGGTAAGAAGAATTGTTCCCTTCTTGAACCCATAAGCAAGTGGCTGTGGAGTGCAAGCATGAGTCAGGAATGACTGGAGATAGCAAAGACATCTGCTGTGGAGAACAGTCAGACAGTTGGCAAAGAAGGCAATGGCCCACGCAGGGGCACAGAGGAGAATGCCACTGAGTGCGTGGGACCAAAAAGAAGCCCGTAGGGATTTACAGACAGCAAAACTGCCAAAGCAAGCCTGTCCCAGCTATCAATGCAGCTTGAGAAAGACAGACCAGAGGCTACAAAGAGCACAGTGTATTCTGAGAACTACAAGAAGCTTGAGTGTCTGAAGTTTGGGTGTGTGGGGGGTGAGAACACCCAGGTGAGGCCCCTGAGGCTCAAAAGTGCACCAGGCTGTATAATGGAAGGCTTTTTGGTAGTTTAAGACACAGGGATGGCATGACCAGATAGATGTTCACTTGAAAATCTTTTAGAAATGGAGACAGTAGACATTGAGATGGATTGAGGTCCTAAACAAAACCTCCTTGGAGGCCAAACTGTAACAGGTAGAATTCTCGTCTTTGAAACCTCATAGTTGTGTCCTTTAGAGGAGAGAATCTAAATGCTATCTTGCCCATACACACTTACTCAATATCTACATTGGATGTAGTAAAGACTGATATAAATGATTTACTGCTATAGTGTCATTTGAGTAAATGCATGACCATATAGTACATTTTAATATGAAAATAGTTAATAAACTAAAGCAAAATACTTTTATTCATTTGAAGTCCACACATAGTTAACTGGGCATCAAAGGTGTAGCAAGTGACTGATTTTTAGGAACACTTTGCAAACATTGAAGCTAATATACTTAAAGATTCTTTTCTTAAAAACATGAATATAGAAGCCTTTTGTAGTAAAGATAAACTCCCACTTTTTCTAAAATGAATGATCAAAACTGAGATTGTGGACTACAGATGTATCAGTTTATGGTACAAAACTGTTTTCTTCCAAAATGGCTTTTGGTCTCTTGATTATGTGGGAGTGGATCTGAGCTCTTCTATTGATGCTTAAGTGCTCAGACAAGGTGGTTTGGGGCCAGAGAGAGGGGAGGTAAGGAAAAACACATGAACACATCTCAAACATTTTAGCAACTCCACTCTTCTGAGCTAATGAAACATTCTTCCATGACCCAAATGAATTTTACCTTAAATAAATAAATAATAAATAGATAGATAAATAAATAAATAAATAAAACTCCAGCTGGGTGCAGTGGTTCGTGCCTATTATCCCAGTGGCACACAAGGCTGAGGCAGGAGGATCCAGAGTTCAGCAACCACAAGATGCTAAGCAATTCAGTAAAACCCTCTCTCTAAATAAAATACAAAATAGGGCTGGAGATGTGGCTTAGTGGTTGAGTGCCGAGTTCAATCCCTGGTACCTGCCCCCAACAAAAATAAATAAAATAAAATAAAAACCCAGTCTTAATCTTCTCAATGTGAAGCTATATTTTTAGTGTTAAAGACATTACTCTTGTCATCACTGATGCTTCTTTGTGGTTTTCTTCTTTTCTTACATAGTAGTATAAGATTTCCACATCAAGATGTGGTTGTCTTGTAAGCTTTGGATCAGTTGACTGTCTCTTATGTCCCCAGAGAAGTGGTGGGATTGAGTGCTTTACCACAAACCTAGGATGGAAGCTGATTTGAGCTCAAAGCTTTGTCTTCTAAGAATAGCTATGTGAACTTGATTAAGCAGTGGCTAGGGTCTTTGAATCTTAATTCCTCATCAATAAAACATAGATAATAGAATCAAAAAGACAGAGGTATTGTGAGAATTAAACAGCCTGGTTATTATAAGGTACTTACAACCACACCTGTCACACGGAGTAAGCTTCTTGAAAGTATAAACCATACTTTTCATACAGCCAAAGAAAATCCCTAGCCAGTTTTAGGATCTCCTTAGTGTAGACTTAACATACAACCCTATATTTGAATAGCTTACTACAATCAAGTAACTGTCTATTCACTGCAAACTCTAAGGTCACATTTAGCAATACTGGAAATTTCCACAAAAATATCACTTACGTTCAATTCTATTTCTAGACTGTTAAATTCAAAGCAGTTTAGAGATCCAGAGAAATTTTTGTGTTATTGTTTTTGCTTTTTGCAGTGTTAGGGTTAGAAGCCAGGGCTTCATGCACACTAGGCAAGTGCTCTACTATTAAGCAACATCAAACCCCAGAAAAGAATTCTAAAGGGGAATTCTAGGTTCTTTGATCAAAACAACAAAAAGTTGGGTTACAAAACTGGGTTTGTGGCTCTGTGGTAGAGTGCTTGCCTGGCATGTGTGAGGCACTGGGTTCGAGTTCAGTTCTCAGCACTACATATAAATAAATAAAGGTCCATCAACAATGAATAAAACATTAAAAAACAAAACAAAACCAACTACCATGATCCTATTTCACCCAATTGGTGAAGAGCTGGTTAATTTCATTCTAAGTCAGGCTGCCTTTGGCTAAAGCTTTGGACAGAATAGATATAGAACAGTATCTCTTGAGAAAGAATCCCTAAGAAGGGTGCTTAAAAATGATCTGTTTTTAACTTTTCAAGTGTTCCCTTAAGCTCTGACCCAACATTGCCAAAGGCTGAGTGTTCTATTTCATGAGGCTGTCCATGATATATTTAAAATGATTATTAGAAAATTCTCTATGCTCAACTAAGCTTCATTTCTCTATGCATTTGCTCCTCAGGGTTTCACAGAATATATAGTCTGTAATGTTCCTTAAAGTACTTAGAATAATTAAGGCCAGTTACAAGTCAGCTTGTAAGATAGATCTTTCATAGAGTCAAATTTAGTTTTGAAAACCTCTTAAATTACTAACAAATCAAAGTCCTAATAAAGCCAATTTTACTTCCAGGATTAGAATAAATAACTGTTCTTTTGGCTAAGCTGCAGATGAGGTAGTTGGCTGGCATTTAAGAGCTGCGTTGGATGAGAAATGCCTTTATTTAACATGAATACACATTGTTGATTTATCTACAATAGGCTATGACTATCAAATGTTTTCCATTTAAAGACCCACTTATGGAGTATCTTTAACCTGTCAGGTACTGTCCTAGAGGGGGACATTTGCCATACATTCCTAACCAATTGTGTGAAAAAATAGGCAATTTATTAACAAAATGGTGAAGCCAGTTAACTGAGATGAAGTTAACAGTTAAAGATCAAGAAGAAAAAGGTATGGTAACGTGAGAGTGCTGTTCTTAGGGTGGGATGGTGGATCACAGAGTGATATAAAAGAACTCTTCTGCTATATCTTGAGAAACAAACACATAGAATCACCTCCCAGTCTTCTAATAATTACTTTATGAAGATATGACTCATCATCAAAGGGGCACTGGTTTGTAGTAAATTAAAAGGGCATTTACTTTTGGCATTAACCATAAAAAGAACTTCAAATAAAATAAAGCTATTGATTTAGAAGAGTTAACGATTTTTTGATAAAAATTTCAAAGATATCTTCAATTACTTGAATTGATCAATGACTCCTTTTAAAACAGGTACTGCTAAAAAAAAGACTTGGGTCTAGAAACACAAAAATTTTACTAATCCTATAGATATAGTAAAAAACATAATATGGATTTTCATAAAACAACAACAAAAACTACAGCAGCAATCATTGTGGGATCTCCCTAAGAGAGAACAATAGTGGACAATTACACCAAGGATTCCCACATTCCTTTTCGATGTGATACAGATGAATTTTGTAAATTAGAGATCAAAGGCAGCCTTGATGAGGAAATGAATTAACATTGGATGCTTGAAGAAAATGGATATTGAAGAAAAGGGAAAAAATCAGTTCCACATCTGCCTTAAGGCTGGATATGGGTAGGGAGAGTTTACAGCAGATAGTGTGTGTCCAATTCACAGTTTGTTTTCTTTTTAAAAGGTAGTGGCAGGGGCTGGAGTTGTAGCTCAGCGGTAGAGCACATGCCTCAAACATGTGAGGCATTGGATTCCTCAGCACCACATAAAAATAAATAAACAAAATAAAGATATGTCCATATACAACTTTAAAAAAAGGTAGTGGCAGACATCCTACCTGTCTTCATGTGGATTCCTCCATCAGTGCTGCTGAGTACATCATCAGTTTTGCTAAAAATCTGACAATTCGAAGTGCAGGATGGTTAACAATATGGAAAAGTAGACTCTGAAGATCTTACTGCCATTTACTGTGTGACCCTGAACAGCCATCAAACCTCATTTTTATCTGTGAATAAGCAACATGTGGGCGGTGACCTTAAGGGTAGGAAAAGGGAAATACAATCTTCAAAAAGCATTTTTTTGAACCATAAAACACAGTATATGTAAAATGGCTAAACAACTATTGAAATTAAGACAATTCAGAGAGAAATTTTAGTGTGAACCTTTTATTTTGACAAAAACAAACTTTACAGAGTTTACATTCTCAAACTCCCAAACTTTCACTTACTCAAAAAATGAGAGACAAGGCATCCTAGACTCCAACATTTTAGGTATGAATAAACTAGTACCAGATTTTTAACTATAAGCTAGTTGCATTTTACATACCACAAAAATAAATTGAGACAAACATTCACTAGTTTCAAGTGTACCCATAAGAAACACATGAACATACCTGTGTTTTTTTTACCACTCTCATGTCAATAAACATCTAAGTGTTTGACATATCTAAGTGTTTAACGGTAGGCATAATTCTATGAATATTAAATTCTCAAATTATTTGTTTTTTATAATCGTGATTAGGAAACTGAAAAACAGGAATGTAGAGTTCAGTAGCTGAAAATGCTACACTTACTGCACACAATCACATGTGAAAAAGAATGTTACCATAGTTCCCCCTTTTGGGAATGACTTTTTGAAAATTTAAAATATTATTTTACCAGAAAATTTATCTTTGGTGTGAAGAGCAAGTTAAATGATGTACTGATAATCTCTGAAGACCTAGCAAATTATAGATTTTGTGCATAGTTACTAATATATCTTTAAGAGATTAATGCTGACTGTTCAACAGTATCTTCAGAAGGTTCTGAAGTGTCTACTCCTATAGTTGCCATAGCTATACATGTCTATGAAATTTAAGATTCCTCAATGGGAAGTTGTAGCTTATTCTTATATAAGACACAGGTAATATGTAGAATCAGACTGTTTTGCACTCTCAAGGAACCTATTTTCAATTACAGAAAATTACATTGTTTTTTTCACCCATAAATGTGAATGAAAGCACTTCTCAAATGTACATGGTCCATTTCCCAATCCTAAAACAAAAGTGAGGGCACACAAATGGATAATCATTTATGTTTTATGTGAATATTTTTTATTCATCTTTAAACAAATCCAACTGCCATCTACAGACAGATGTGACAAATTTGTTACCAATTTCTATGTCTTGGGAAATTAAAGATCTAAGAACTTTAAATGTTGAGGCTATGTGCAATGCATTCCTGGATTCACTCTGCAAGCTATTTTCTCACTCCTCTGTCCTGTAGGGTGTATCAACTTAAGTTTCAATATCAGGAGAATAAAAAGACTAAGGGAAAAGGCCTTGATCAAATTTATCCCCTATGAAAATTTCTAAACTTATTAATGAAAAGACTTAATATGCTTGTGAGATAAATCTTGAAGTAATAATTATAAAGCCATTTACTCTCACACAAATGAGTGAAATGTAATTAATAATCATACTTAAACAAGTCTTTAATTTTAATGAATGGTATTTTTCACTTATATACAAAGGAATTCAATAGCTAGCAGCATTTAAATATGGAAATAGTTCCATCTCTACTCTTTTCCTTATATAAAGTGCCATTTTTAACTGGGCAGATTTAACACCCAGCTTTTCAGTAACTACAGTATAGCTCTTTGAATATATTCAAAGAAAGGTAAGAAAATTGACTTACTATTTTAAACAATTGCAAAATGTTGCACAAAGCATAGAAACTGTGAGTGTATTAGTAAAATAAAAGTCTCTTACCCAAGAATCATTAAGCAGTAAGTTGATTAAATAATTACTTCATAGAAGCATTGGTTCGCTAATATTTATGCCTTTTTTTTCTTCTTATTCCAATTGTCTAAACCAGAAATGGTTTCTGCTTAAGCACCATTAGGGTTATGTCAAACAAAAGAGAACCAATGGTTGTATGATTCCTCAGAACACAAATCCTAACAAACAGACTTTCAAAATAGGAAAACAAATTAAGTGTCAATCAGAATGAGAGGCAATATTTTATTCAAACACATATATGCTGCTGAGTGTTCTCTTTAAACAAGAAGGTGTAGTTATAAATAATGTACCGTAATACTTGAGTGCAGTGGAGTTAAGATAGGTGAAATCCAGAGTACAGATTAACTTAAAAGTGACTGTTGCTTAATTCTTTGTTCAGTGATTAAAACTGAAATTGCTTTAAAAAATAATAACTAACCTGCTACTTGCAATACGAATAGATTGCCAACAGGATTCCCATTTTACTTACATTATTCTCTACTCAGTACTTTTGCATCTCAACTCTGATCTTGCCTTCAGTAGTGCCTTTAGAAGCAATTACTAAAAGTACAGGGCAGCATGTAGTTTTGTTCACCAGTTTCATTACAATTTGCATTTTTGTTGTTCTTGAGAGAGTAACCACTTAGAAAAATAGATACATAAAAAGTGCAACATTGTATCCGTTAAAACAAAGGAATTCAGTTATCAATTCAGTCCCCCTAGATATATTTCTAATCCTCAGAAAAAGGGACCACAGGTCAGAGGGGTGGAATGGGAAGAGGCAGAGGTCAATGTATGATCAATCAATTAATAAAGAAATCTACTTCACCCAGAAAGCTAGCTGGAGGGGAATTCCTCTCTGCCCATCACAATCCCTCACAAAAGAATGCATCAATTTTTTTTTTTTTCTGGTCTCCTTTCCTTACTCCAGTATTCTAATATTCTATCCTGAAGACAAACAAACCTTAGCATTTCTAAAAGAAATTATTTTTACCCAAACACATTGGACTTCGGTCTTAATTTGAATGAGGATGAGTGGCCTTTAAGAGGTCGTTCCTCCTCCTCTTCCCCTTCCTCCAGCGGCTGCTCTGGGTCCCTGAAAGTGGGTGTGGTGTGGATGATCTGGGTTCTGAAGCGGATTTTGTTGAGTCTGGGTTTTATCCGCCCACTAGAGCTGCTAGAGGCTTTGCGACCGGGATCCTTTGCTTTGCCTCCAGCCCATCCCTCAGCCAAGTGGAGATGGTGATGATGGTGGTGATGATCCCCCGCATCCTCCAAGACATGAGAGAGTTTATAGGTGATAAGGTGCGACGGGAGCACCTTTGAAAGTCTCCAACGTCCACCCCCGCTACCAGCAGCGCTCTCCCCATCATCCTCATCCAGGGCTCCCACCAGGTTCTTAATCTCCTCCGCGATACTCTGACTCAGGTACTGAGAGGCCTTTTTCCCGCTGTAGTCCCTGATGTCCACGTCTGCGTCGTAGGCCCCCACAAGTAACTTGACTACCTCCACGTGTCCGTGCATAGCTGCCAAGTGCAGGGCGGTGTAGCCGGCGCTCGTCCTGGCGTTGATGTTCACCGGCAGCTGGTGTTTGTTAGCGAAGCTGACCAGCAGGGCCAGGAGCTCTTGCCGGCCGTGCTTGGCGGCCCAGTGCAGACAGGTGAAGCCGGTGATGAAGTCTCGCTTGGTCAGGAGGCCGGGCTCGCAGGTAAGCAGACCTTCTAGGCTGTCCCACTTGCCGTCCGAGGCCGAGAGCATCCAGGCGTGCTCCAGGGGGTCCAGGGTCACTGAGCCGCCGCCACTGCTCTCCTCCTCGGCGGACGACGAAGCCACCGACGCGCTATCCGAGTCGCCCCCGCCTCTGCCGCGACCTCCCCCAGAGGAGCTTCCAGGGCTGCTGCCCCCAGGACACACGCTCCTCTTCAGTTGCGGGGAGCTGCCCATCACCAGGTCCCGGAAGTTCTGGCGGGCAGATCTCGGGGTGGTGGGCCCTCCAAGGGAGCTGCTGGGGTCCGCCTCCTCGCAGCCGTGCGGAGGGGGATCCAGGTCCTCGCTGGGGCCCGGGACAGGCATCTGGGGTAGGGCCTGGACGCCGCGCCTGGAGTTCTTCCTCCGGGCGCCGCTGTTCGGAGGCTGCCCTGGAGCGGCGCTCGGGCGCTCGGGATCGCTCGGCTCCCGGCCCTGCTCGGGGGGCGCCTCGGGGTCCACCGCCTCGGAGCCCGCTGCCTTTGGGCGCGGGCCGCCTTCCCCGGACCCAGTCGGGGGGTCTGGGGCTTCAGTCTCCGCGGTCACCTCGATGTGAGGCGGGTCTCCGGGAGGCGCGGCCTCTGGTGGCGTGGACCCGGAGCAGAACCTCTTCTTGAGGTAAACATACTTGGCGCCATCGGCGGGATCTGTGCGGACTGTGGCCACGGCGTTGACCAGCTCCTTAAAACGGGCGCGGGCACGGGCGCGCTGCTCTGGCTCACCGCCCAGGACGCCCCTAAAGTGGTCCACCAGTTCGGCCTGCCGGGCTCGTCCCCCATGTTCCGAGAGGAAGGCTAACACGGCCTCGGGGCCCAGCTCTGCTGGCCCCTCCATCCGCCGCTGCTCTGGTTCTCCGTCGGCGGGCGGCTCAGCCCGGCCCCATCACAGCGCGGTCGGAGCTCCGGGAAGCCGGAGAGCTCCCGCGGCTCCCGGCTGCGGCGTTCGCAGTCAGGACTCAGACACCGCCTGGCCCCAGCCGCGCCCGGGCAGACACGCCCCCGGCAGCCCCGCCCAGCCTGTTGGCCCCTCCCTCAAGCCCGCCCATTTCCTGTCTCCGCGGAGGGCTGCAATCTCGGCTCCCGCCGGTCGCTGGCGGCCCCGCCCACTTCCGGTCTCTGTGTGCGGGTCCACAAACGCCGTTCCCGCCAGCTGCCTGAATCGTGGGGACGTTTCTCCTCACGTCTACTTCTCCCTGTCTCAACTTTCCTTCATTCACCCTCGCCCCCGCACCTACTTTTAAGTCCTCGAAAACGTTGAGAGGCACTCCTTTGAGGGGGCTTGCCGGGCGCGCGGGAAACGTTTGGCGTGGTCAATGGCGGGTCCCCGCGGCCCCAGGGGCTTGGCCACGCCCCACCCTGAGCCCAGCAGCCGAGGCCACCCCCGCCCGTGGGGCGGCCCCGGCCGCGCGCCGGCCCTGCCCATCCCGAGCCCCGCGGGTGGTTCCTCTCGGGTCACGCCCAACCCGGCCTGCCTGGCCTGCGTCTTCCCGGGCCAGGTCTGAAACCGCCGCTTGGCTGCCTCCAACCTGGATCGATGGAAGAGGCGCAGCGCCCGGTGAGTTCGCCACCCTCCACCCTCTGCCGAGGGCTCCGGGGACGCGCGCCCCTAGGGCACTTGCTCAGCCTCCGCCCTCCTGGCCGCCTGTGGTCGGGCTGGGATTGTGATCCGCGCTCCTCCCTGGGCGCGGCCGGTCCCCGGCGGAGATTCGGGTCTGCTCGCTGCCGACCCCTACCCGCTGAGGCGCCGGGCCAAGCTCCGGGGAGACGGGGAAAGATCTTTTTGCTTGACTTTTCAGTCTGTGCCCAAATGGGGAAATTAGATGTAGAACTGTTGGCTGGTCCATCACTTTCCTAACGGTTTCTGAGCGCGCAGTGCAGATTGACACAACCGGAGTGATCTGGTAGAGTGGTGCACACGTCCTGATGACTGGCTGGGTCGAGTCCGGCTTGCGCGGCTTTTCCCAAGCCGTCTGTGGTTTTCAGGTGGTGTCCATTAGGATTTGAACCTTTTCGTTTCCCGCCTTGGCACCCTTGCTTATTAAAAGAACACGGTCCAGCGTTTTAGATGACTTTGTACATTAGGTTTCAGGTTGCTTTGGCACATGTATCTTGTTTGCCAGTTAAGACACTGGTTCTCAAAGTGGTCACAGGTATTTTCATAGTAACACCGTGTGTGGTTTGCCGTTTGTAATTCCCATTCTCTTAGAAGCGTACTGAGAGTTTTCCAGAAGACAATGGGATATGTCTTTGCATATGTGTGGGTTTGTTTTATGGAGCTTGGACAAGAGTTCTGCTCTGATTCAACCCAGGTCTCTTTCTACTCTATCACGTATTTAGAAAAGTCTCAGATTTTCTCTTTGTTACCATTGCCCCTTGCTCACGTTGTTGAAGAAAATATCAAAGGATTGTGGTGAGTAAGGTGTGTTATAAACTGATTCGTTGAGTGATCTTCAGTATCAAATCATACTTGAACAGAAGAGAGCACCTCAGTTGATATTGGATTTCTTGTCGATTTCCAGCACTTAAGCTTGCTCTGAAGCTGTTTTCTAATTAAACTTTTTATTTTGAGATCATTGTAGATTCTCATCCAGTTGTAAGAAAGAATATAGTAATATCTCTCTACCCTTTATGCAGTTTTCTCGATATTTGGCAAAATGTAGTAGAACATGAATATTGACTGATACAGTGAAGATAGAGGCCCTTTCCCTCACCAAAAGGTCTCTCAGATTGCTCTTTTATAATCACACCCACTTAGTTCCCTGTCCCATCTCCTCTTTAATCCCTCTTAATCAGTAATTTGTTACTCATTTCCATAAATTTTCATCTCAAAATTTATGTGATTACTGAGTCAGTAATCTTTTGGGATTGGATTTTTTTCACTCAGCAAAGTTCTCTGGAGATTCATCCAAGTTGTTGCAAGCATTAGAAGTTATGAATGTATCACACTTTGTTTGAAGGCCATCTAGCTTGTTTTCAGTTTGGGGCTATTATGTATAAAGCCGCTGTAAACATCTCTGTAATTTATAATATAATGTCATGTAAACATTAGGTTTTTTTTTTTAATTTGTTCTTTTTCAATTTACATAACAGTAGAGTGTATTTTGACATACATACACAGAGTGTAATTTATTCTAATTAGGACCCCATTCTTGTGGTTGTATTTGATGTGGAGTTTCACTGGTGTATTCATATGTGAACATCAGGAGACTTATGTCCAATTCATTCTACCATCTTTCCTATTCCTACCCTCCTTCCTTCCCTTTATTTTCCTTTGTCTAATCCACTGAATTTCTACCCTCCCCCTTGGTTGTATGTTAGCATCTGCATATCAGCTATCAGAGAGAACAGTCTACCTTTATTTTTTGGGGATTGGCTTCAGTTCTCCCAGGCTCATTTATGCAGTTGCTGGGTTGTGTGGTAATTGCGTCTTTAGTTTAACAAGAAACTACCAAACTGTTTCCTAATATGTTTGAACCATTCTTACCAGCAGTGTATGAGAGATCTACTCTCTTCACATCCTTGTCAACATTTAGCGTTGTCCTCATTTTTAGCCATTCCAATAGGTATGTATGATGTTGTGGTTTTCAGGTGCATTTCTCTAATGTCTAATGATGTTGGACATAGATGGTATTTCCTTTTTTGTGTAATGTCTCTTCATCTCTTTTTTTGAATTTTCTAATTGAATCTTTTTTTTGGCTGTTGAAGGATTTTTTTTAAAAAAATGTATCATAGATACTAGTCCTTTTTCAGATATGTAGTTTGCAAATGCTCTCTCATTCTGTACTTTTGTGTCTTCATCCTCTTAATAGGATCTTTTGCAAAACAAGAATTTTAAAAATTTTATGAGGTTCATTTTATTAAGTTTTCCTTTTATGGATTTGTGCTTTTTTGGTGTCAGTTTAAGAACTTTTTGCCTAATCCTAGATCCTGAAGATTTTCTCTTTTTTTTTTTCCTTAAAAGTTTCATAGTTTACAATTTACATTTAATCCCATGACCCATTTTGAGTTAATTTTTCTATAAGATGTCAGACCTTAGTCAAGAGCTCATTTTTGGTTTAGGGGGATGCCTAATTGCTTTGGTTGAAAAAGTTCTTATTCCTCTATTGAATGGCTATACTTTTGTCAAAAGCCAGTTGAACGTATTTATGCTAGCCTATTTCTGGGTTCTGTCAACACATATACCACTGATTCTCATAACACTGTAAGTCTTGTAATTTACTTGTAAAGTTGTAAGTCTTGTAACCTTGTAAGTAAGGGTAGACCCATTCCTCCTACTTTTTTAGGAGGAATGTTTCCCTTTTTTTCAAAACTTTTTTAGCTAATTCTTTGCCTTTCTTTAATTTTTAGCTAATTTTTTGCCTTTCTTTAATTCTTGCCTTTCTTTGTAAGTTTTAGAATCATTTTGTGTATATCTAAAAAAAAAAAAAAAAGGTCTTTTTGGGATTTTGTTAAGAATTACATTATTTATTTTTAATAATTTTTTGAGAGAGAGTTTTTTTTTAATATTTATTCTTTAGTGTTCGGTGGACACAACATCTTTTTGTATGTGGTGCTGAGAATCGAACCCGGGCCGCACGCATGCCAGGCGATTGCCCTACCGCTTGAGCCACATCCCCAGCCCCAAGAATTACATTATTATATCTGTATATCAGTTTACTGAGGATTGATATCTTTACTATGTTGTCTTCTACCTTATAAACACAGTTTTTCTTGTCATTTCTTAATATTACTTTGATTTCTTTCATTATGCAGTTAGCATACAATCCTGCATGTTTTGTTGGAGTTACACCTTCATGCTTACGTATTCAATTTTTTAAGGAAATGTAGATGATAATTGCTTTTAAATTTTATCTTCATTGGTAACAGGAAATATAATTGTTTTTTGTATGTTTATCTTGTATCCTGTGACCTTGCTAAATTCATTTGCTCTAGGAGTTTGGATTCCTTGAGGTTTTCTATGTGGATAATCATGCCATTTGCAAATAGAGACAGTTTTATTTCTTCCTTTTTACCATTTCCTTCCAGCCTTATTGTGTTGGCTGGATTCTAGCCCTTTGTTACTACTTTTTTTTTTTTTTTTTTTTTTTTTAGCATTCAAATCAGTAACAGTGGTGAAAGCAGAACAGTCTCCTTGTTGTTGTTGTTTTTTTCCTTCTTTTTCGGGAGAAAGCATTCAGTCTTTTCATGATAGCTATGAAGTTTTTTGTAGATGCCCTTTACTGACTTCATGAGGGATAATGGTCTATAGGTGTATGTATTGTCAGTCAAGGTAATAGTAGCTTCATAAAATGGGTTGAAAAGTATTCTCTCCCTTGAAAGAGATTGTGTAGAATGGGTGTTAATTCTTTAAATGTTGGTTGTTAATTCTTTAAATGTTTGGTAGGATTCTTCAGTGAAACTGTCTGGGCCTGGAGATTTCTTTTTGGAGTGTTTTAATATTAGAAATTCAAGTTTCTTTAATAGTTATAAGGCTATTCACTATTATTAGGAAAGTTGTGGTAGTCTGTGGTTTTTAAAGAACAGAATCATTCCTTCCAGTTTTCAAATTTACATAAGTAGAGTTGAACATAGTATTGCCTTAGTATCCTTTGTTGGCATCAGGGTCTGTAGTGCTATTCCCTGTTTGAGTCCAAATGTTGGTAATTTATGTCTTTTGTCTTTATCAGTTCTGATACCAGTTTGTCAATTTTATTGATCTTTTCAAAGAACTGGCTCCTTGTTTTATTTATTTATTTTAATTTTTCTATCTTTAGTATAAGTAGTGATTTCTGACCTTTTCTTTTTTTCGAAGTATTTTTCTTTTCTTTCCTTGCTTGGGGTTTATTTTGCTTCTTTTCTAGGTTTTTGAGGTTCTTAGATTATTTATTTGAGACTTTTACTATTCTGATGTATTCATTTGGTGGTATGATCTAGCTTTAGCCTTTCTAGAAATAAGATAACAAATGTGCTTTCTTCTTAGGCTGCTACTAGAATTGAAATGGTCTAAGATGTAATACTGTGTACATTGTAGGTTAAATGAGGCATTTGTGAACCTACTCAGGACTATTCTGAAACTAAGATGGTTACTAAAATGAATTTTTGGAAAATACAACTTATTTGTATGATTATAGTTCATATTAGCTTTAAATGAATATAGACTTTTTGTAAAAATTCGGTACTGAGGTAAATTTTAAAGGAAGAGATGGCCATAGATTATTAGAGAGTAGCTGGCCAGGTATTTTAGGCAGGAAGACTGTTTCAGATTCTGCTCACACAGTCAACCTTAAAATAACATGAGAAGCTTTTCAGTTGTATTACAAATCTTAAAAATATGGCTTTAAAATTTTTTAACGTATGTTTAAAAATTGAGGACTTTAGTCATTATTTTCATCTTCTTTTAGTTTAATTTTACCTTTTTAGTAGTCCAATAATCTTTGCAAATGTTAACATATTCAGCCTATTTTTTTATGTATGAAATTGTCTTATTTCTTATTCAATTTTTTATGAAGTTGACTTTTATGGCTTTAACTGTCTGCTCTAGTAATTGAATGTGACCAGATGCTGATGCTAAAGTTC